CTTAGCTACCAGCAGCCAAAATAAATAAAACACTCCAGTCTGTTGCTGAAATGTCCTCCTTTTTTAAGCTGGCCAAACTGGCAGCTAAAATGCCAAAGTTGCCAAAAACCAGGAATAGCTTTTTTAACAGCTTTATCACAAATTAGACAGCACCTATCACAGATGTGAAGATGAAACAGATCTTATACAAAACCATGTTAAATGTACGGTGTCTGTCTGTCATGTCTACAGATAAGGGTGAGCCGTGGATCCCATTCCCAGCTGGGATTTAAGGAATTCACTGAGGACATTCTGTTTGCTGAGCGTTGGCAACACAGTGACAGGAATTTCAGGCGTGTGAATGGTTGGATGAAGCAGATGGAGGGGGGGGAGGGGGGGGGCACTGTTGTCGCTCTTAAAGCCATGTATTTCAGAGTAGACGATGCTCCCCCTCTCCTCACGTTCTCTCTCCCACTGCTGACCCTCACAGGGACACCCATTAGGTAAGCCAATTATTGAGGACAGACGAAGTCAAACAAAGGACGAGGGAAAGAAAAAGTCTGTTTCCTGCTGGTGCTCTGTCTTGAAAAGACACCGACACCAGATCAGGTCTGGACCTCACACTGCTGAGCCATAAGGCGTGGTGTTTCTGTTCTTATCTGTTTTTAGAGGCTCTTTCTTATTTATGATGCTAAATATGGCATTTTACTCACATACTTTACTGGTTTATCATGGTTGCACATCTGTTACATCATCACAGTCAGTGGCCCAGAGCATGTCTTGACCATCTGCAGCAGCAACTAAATGTTTGATGGTTTTCCATGGTCTGTCTAGATGCATAACAATGGACTAGTTGTCGTTTTAAGCTACCTTATAGTTGGACATAGTTGGTTACTTCTGACTTAAAATCTTAATTTCGGCGTTAATTTTAGTCAACAAAAATGACAGCGACACCATGTTGTTTTGCTGCTCGAAAGACAAATGTTAACATTGCTCCTGAGTAAACCAATGGGCATTTCTATATCGTTATCTTTTTTTCTTTTTTCTATTTAGTGTTGATGTGGATGCTGTGTATTACAAATAAGGAAGTCAGTGTGTGCTGCCACAAGTATTTTCCCATGAAACTCTGCTGCCAGTTTAGAATCTCAGCTGGGAGTGGAAGGAGGAATGTAAGGAGGAATTCACACAGGAGATTCAGCTGGTAGCAGTTGACATGTCTGCTGACATGGAACTGTTGCCCGGAGGTCTGTCTACCCTCGGTGTCAGGTGACACAAGACACAGTCTATTTAATTAATTAATTAAATTTAATATGGCTGTTTGATGTCTAAACGAAATGTGAGAAATTCTTTGGTCAAAAAAAAAACCTGTTTGATGTCTAAATGAAATGTGAGAAATTATTTGGTCAAAAAAACAACAACAGAGGACTGAGCACAGCTAGTTCCTGTGTCTTTACCTTTAAATAGTAATCAGCCACTTTATGCTCCGCCCACTTCTTTCCAAGGTCGGAAAGACGTTAGGAATGCCTGATCGCATAACTGAGGAAACAGTAGCTCTGGGAGATAAATGTGGCTGCTGATAAAGGAGTGTTTCCCACGTGTAAAGTTGTGTATGCCATTCTTACAGGTTTGCTGAACTGACAGGACACGGACAGTTGCATGACTGTAAAGCAGGTGTCTGATCCTTAGACAGGTAGGAGTGGAGCTCCCCAGTGTGGTGGGTGTGATGATTAAGAGCCCACTTTGTGACAAATGGCACAAATGGAGAAACATAATGGCTCGTTTCAAGAGTTTGTCAGATTATTAAACATGTATTTGGTATTGATTCTGACATTTTAGAAATAGAAATTCCTTTGACACAAATATGCAATGCAACGTAATCCTGACTCAGTCAATTTTGTGTAACGTGTTAATATCTGATCCACCACGACATCAGCACAAGACGCAAATTGGAATCAAAGACCTCGACTTCTGTAACCTGCTGTTCTCCATTGTGTCATTTTACCTCCTGCTTCTTCCCTCTATTATCCACGATCCTGCTCCATTCATCTGTGAACACCAGTTGCTGTCCCAACCCCACGCCCTGCGTCTTATTCCTCCACCCCTATTTACTCCACATCTCCTCTAACCTTCCTCAGCTCAATCATCTAACTCTCTCTTCCTGCCTCTTCCTCTCTCCTCTTCTCTATCCCCCGGGCTTCTCTTCATCACTCACAACCTCCTCCTTCCTTTTCTCCCATTCCTCCCTCCCTCCCCATCTCTGTTCCCTCCTTCCCACTCATTGCAGCCTATGAAGCATACTAATCATCTTTTCAAGTCTGAGTGTGTGTGTGTACTGCAGCAAAAATCTTGTCTACTTTCTGCCTCTATTCACCAACTTTTACCAGTAAGGATGTAAGACGTTCTGTGGTTCCATGAGTCTGAACAGGTTTGTTATTGTCAACGCCTGTAAATTTCAGCATCCAATCAAGACTTCTGAAACTTTCTAAAAAGATACAATTTGTTAATACTCTTGAAGCTAAAGGTAATGAGAACAAAGACAAGACCTGAATAATAATTTGAACTCTATTGAAGAAGGCAGGCACCAGGTACGCTGTTCGCCTGGGAATCGAACCCAGGACTCTCTGCTTCCAGGGCAGGCGTGCTAACCACTACACTATGGAACCTACATTCAAGACTTGTTTGTAAGTGCTTTCATTGACCAACCAAGGGATGTTAACTTAAATACGTAAATCAATGCAGGCAACAAACATCCATGTTTGTACAGGGACATGGTTTTTATTGGGTCACACCCCCTGTTTGACTCCTGTTGAGCTCCTAATTGTTTGGCCGTTTTTGCTGTTTAAAGACTTAAGGTGCCCTAATAAACTCTGGACTGTCTCTACCCGTCCACAACATTTTAGAATTTAATTGGTGATGGGCTGAGATTCTTTGAACTAACTCGCACTGAGAGATAGAATCCGTCAGAGATGCTTACGATCCATTTGTGCCTCTGAGCCCAGTTCTAATCCTGATCAGTGAACAGTACTTACGTCTGTGATCACCTGTAAAGACAATGGCCCAGTACAGACACATAGTGAATTCAAACCAGTGTCGTCCCTAAAGTCCTCTTTTAGTCGTTCGAGCTCTGATAGTAATAAGGTAACGATCGCCCTGAGCTTCATCTGGGGTCACATCCAAGATACATTTACAATAATTATGTGTATTTATGGCAGTAGTAATTTTAAAATCTATTTTTCACCCTAAGGCAGCGGACAGGAAGGTCGTTTTGCGACAATGGCCGAAACGTACAGCCTGCTGTGAAAGTGATGCAGGTCAATATTACGCGATTCTGTTGATGATGGGTCTGCAAGGTGTTAGTTGAAATGATGGTGGTCGGGGCTGTCTTTCTGCTGCCGTCATCTTAATGGAAACAGTTTCCTTTGATAGGATCAGCCAGTACCTGTAAGGTTCTCCTAATAACAGAGGTACACATCTGTGTCTGTTAATAAATACATCTAACATGGTGGGATTTTTCAACCTTGTGGTTGAGGAAAAAAAACATCACCTGCCAAGACATTGAGGTCTCTAGAACCCACACAGAACCAAAAGCTAGGGCTAGCTGTTGGTGCTGGTAGCCCTTAGAATCTATAGCTAGCAGCTGATTGGCTATTTCAGCACCTGCATTTTCACAATACAAGTTTGATCCATTCTACAACAGCACTTGAGTCTTGAGTCACTCATATCTACATTGGATTTTTAAAAAGCACTAAAAACCAATGAATTCCTTCCAGCCACCCAAAAATATACTATTCTATATACAATATTTCCTCGTATCACGAGCAAAATCATGGACTAGTAACGTGTGCTGTAGTAGAAAAAAGTCATATTTTAATACCATGTGCTTAGAGGAATTAGTATTACTTCAAATTAAGAGATTTGTCATTTTCTACTAGTCAGTCACAGTCTGACCACAGTGGTCACATTATGTCTGAATACAGATGAGAGCTCAGTCGATAGCGGTCATCCTTCTATTAAATGTTTTCTGCTAAAAACAACATAGTTCGCTAAGTTTAGCTAGTGCTACAACCAGACCCTGTCCATGCTTCAGAGTGAGCCCCTGGTTCAGGAATGGGCTTCTTCATCAGTTCTGGACGGTCTTCTACACAGTCCAGGTTCTTTCTCACCAGCATTTAGTGCCAACACTGCTGTATAATGAGCTGCCAAGAGTTGTATTACTGTCCAGATAAAGTGTCAACCTGCAGGTAATTGGCCTCGTCCACACACACTAAAAACCTAAGAACCAGATCTGCTCTCTTCAAACTCCAGTGTGACTACACTAACTCTGCTAAGGTCCAACATCCTGCAGTTAAACTTGGTTGACTTCACAGGAAGATGGATTCTGGGTAGAATCACAGTTTCTCTGCTCAGCTACAAAAACGCTTGAAACATAAAATTTAGAATAGAGTCATTTAAGGAAGTTGAGCATTTCAAACCACTCTCCATCAGGGGGTTTCAGGTGGAACTGCAGCCAAGTTCAGCTGACATTGGGGCGGAGCTGGGTCTTGGCACAGGCCACAAAGGCAGTTGCCTAGAGTGCCACCAGCTGGCAGAGGTACTGCTGACGGGGTACTAAAACCTAAAAATTGAAACATACATTTAAACAAATATGAAAAAGCTAATTTTTTTTTAAAATAATTTACTTTTTTTTTCAGTCTCTGGAAAGATATTTAAAAAAAATTAAAATAATTTACTTTTTTTTCAGTCTCTGGAAAGATATTTTTATTTCTATATAAAAATGTAAATATATTGTTGGTGTGGTTCATCGACATATAACCCTATAGAAATCATCTTTTTCTACAGCAAACATTAGACAGGTCTAAATCTAGTCTCAAGGTAAAAGTCTGATGTGAGGCTGGACTTTAAGGGTGGTTCAGTTTCTGTGGCCTTCAGTTTTATTTTTAAACCCTTGATAACTTGGCTCTGGAGGACACGTGACCTCGAGGAGACCTAGTTTGAAATGCTAAATAAAACAAGTCTTTTACTTAGCTCAGATGGCTCCCTTTGAGTCGTAGACATGCTGACCACCGTCTTTCCCTCTTTTGCTGAGTGAGGAAGATGATGAAAGCTTCTGCGTTCTTTTCTGTCCTGTTGTATTTTCCTTTGTCTTCTCTGCCGGTCTTCTCCCCTCCCTCCTGGTTAAACACCTTAAATCAGTGAATGTAAATCAGCCAGTTTGGACACGGTGGAAATGGAAGATGCCGCCGGAGCGTGATTTACATGTGGAAGAGAGGAGAAAAGTTCAAGTTTAATGCAGTGCCTATAAATTCATGAGCTGTAGCATAAAATCAAGTAAAGTAGTTTGGAATGAAAAAAAATAAAGGAGTGGAACGTTGATGTAGAGATGATCAACCACAGCTTGTTATTGAACTCATCATAGTTGACTTGAATCGTTTTTTTATTTTACTCTATTTCTCAGCAAATGTTTAGGGCTGTCTATTGTACGTACCACGTTACAGGGGAAACGATACAATATATTGTGTTATTTTAAGTAAATAATAGGAAAATATAGCAGGTTGTTTAATGTCGTGGTTTTTTTTAGAATGTTCTATAAATCAATTGACAACTGATTGATAGGTTAAGGAGAAAGTAACCAGTGATGCACAGCAGAGGTCATCAACCTTTTTGCACCAACGGTTTTATGTACGACATTCTGTGTTGTTGCTGACCTGTTTGTCAGGGTGTGCCTAAAAAAAACGAGTCAAGATAAAAAAAAAAACCACTCCTGCTAATGAAACTCCCCATACACACTAATCATGTTTGTAGTGTGATTTTAAACCTAAACTCTAACTTGGACATTTATCACAACCCACAACCGGTTTTGATAAAACCAGGGTTTTATCACAAGGGTTTGAGGACATCATCAAAGTAGAGACAAGAAGCTGAGTGAGAATAGTGAGTGGATGGAGTGAATAGGTCTTTGTCTTTCACACACAGTCCTCTGTGGGAAAACAGAAGAGGGTGAAGGTGACAGAGGAGCTACCGACTGAGGAACCGCTTTGGCTCTGCCCTCCACCCACTCTGAGCTGCCCCTGCTGCCCCTGCCGCCACCTCCCCACTGCAAAAGGGCATTGGGGTCAGAGGCCGTAAACCTCTGTGTGTATGTGTGTGTGTTTTAGAAAGAGCATGAAATAATAGCAGGAGAAGGTTGAACTGCAGACTGAAGTGCATCTGGTCTGAATGTGAAGAATGTAAAGAAGCAGGAAGGAGAACAATGACAAAGTCAGGTGGGACATGTGATAGTGGAGCAGATGCTCCATCAGCTGTCCGCCTTGTAAATGCATTGATTGTGGCTGGTTGGGTCGTAAAGGACAGCTGTGTGATGGTCCAACCGTCGGGGCCTTAGTTATATATGGTTCACAGAAGACTGTGTTAACTGCAGTAAAAAAATAAAGGTGTGTATTCATTCATTCATTCATTCGTTCATTCGTTTATTCATTCAATCTGGAGCCAATCAGATGGAGTCCCACTGACCTACATGCCCGCCACATGCATGTAGCTGTGGTGGGGGAAGAATATAGAGGTGGAGAGTGGTGAGAAGTCAGAGAGACAAGCTAAAAAAAATGGTGGCTCGTGGATCTCGAGCTAAACACGAGGACGACTTACTTCCTGTCCTTCACCATGTGATTTGGTTCTGAATGGATGGTCACCTTCAGCAGTGTCAGCCCAGACTAGATCACAGTCCACTTTGGTCCTTCTTTATCTCATTCACCGTTGCATTGTATTTTAGCTTTTTTTTCTACAAAAAAAAAAAAAAAAAAAGAATTTCAAAAATAATTTTGAAAAACCCTGTACATGGAGATGAATAACCATCAACATCAGTTCACGTGGTGAAAGAACACCAAGAGACAGTTGCACCTAAATTAGAACTGTTTTTTTCCCTGTCACCTCTCTGCCGTGTGAAATATTTTCATTAATTTCCATCCTCAGAGTGCTACCACACACACACACACACACACTGGCCCTCACACATCACAGACACACACACACACACACAGATTACACAATTTTATCTTGATTAGAATCCCAGAATCCCCCTCTGCACAGTGCTGCTTAGCAGAGCAGAAAAGATGAAGAGGAGAAGGACAAGGGCAAAAAGACAGTGCCACATATACAGTATATGTATGCCACATACAGTACATACAGTATGTACTGTATGTACTGTATGTACTGAATGTACTGTATGTACTGTATGTACTGTATGTACTGTATGTACTGTATGTGGCAGGAAAAGAAAATACTGCAGGTACACATACGAAAAACGACGTACATGAAAAAGTATTTCATAACGACTTCATGAGCAGGTCATTTTCCAGATTAAAAATGCTTGTGTCCCTTAAACACACAGTTGTTTAGGAGGACTTGTGGGGCCCAGACATAAGGGAACTGTTGCCCCCCCTAGAGGATAAAGACAAATGACACCGTCTACCCTCAAACCCCATGGAAAACCTAATATTTGCTGTTCAGTTTTGGGCTAATGTTGGTTTACTGTATGAACTACATTGTTTACATTTAATGTTAGTGGACGGGTTGTGTTCTCTATGTGGATGACCTTTGACATATGAGGAATTTGCTTGTCAATAGGCTAAGAGCAAGACTTCCTGTCTTCAGAACTTATTCTGATTGGTTGACTTTGCTTCATGTGATTGTTGGTTGAACACTTTAGTTGAACACTGATGGACGCTGATATTTAGACTTATCTTTAGTCTAATCTCAGCTTTTGTTGTGACACGGAAATCAGCTGAAGAAAACCTTGGGTAAAAATGAACAATAATAAATCGAATAAATCGTGCAGATTAATCTGATTCATATTTTAATGCACAGACAAAACTTGTTGTTTGTGTCTCAGTGACGTGGATAAAAATCTAGCTGCGTTATTTATTAAAACCAGGGTCAATTTTTTAAGGAATGAGCACGTTGATCAAATTAAATAAATCGTGCAGATTAATCTGATTCATATTTTAATGCACAGACAAAACTGTTTGGACGTGGTTAATCACGATCACTATTAATCCACAGCTAAACTTCGATTAATCAGATACAAATTTTAATCAATCAATTGATGGCTCTACAAATTTTGGTCTTTGGTTATCAGTGGGACATACAGTCAATGTGGGCCCACACTTTTGCTCACCCTTTACCCAACTCACAAATACTGACTGGGAAACATGTTCGCACTGGTTTAACAGACTATAGTCAGAGAACAGTGTTTTTAAAACCAACAGCAAACAACAGTTTGATAAACTCCAGGTTATTATTGTTGTTTGTGGCTCAGTGACGTGGATAAAAATCTGCGTTATTTATTAAAACCAGGGTCAAAACACCCCACCCCCTACCCGTTCATTCATCTTTTACCTCCTAATCCTTTAAATCCAATAGCAATCCCAACCGTCATGGCGGGGGGTTACACAGGTCAGTCACAAGGCCACACACTGTACGGAGACAATCAGTCATTCACACTCACATTCACACCTATGGTCAGCTCAGAGTGAACAGCTAAGCTTCAGGATTGAACCAGCAAACAAGTGATCTGCCAGCTGTAAGGCAAGAGCACCAACCACTCTTCCACTGTATGACCCTTGTACCTCTGTCAAGCTCTGTACATTTAAGAAATAAGAACATAAGAAAAAGTCCTTCTGGTGGTCAGTGCTGGGACTACAGCGCAGTGTTGGAGCTGGTCAGCTGACCCTGCAGAAATACCAGTCCTGCAGTTAGTCAGGGTTATAATGGTGTTTTATTGTTATTTGGTTCTTCCTGCAAGTTAAATTAAACCAAGTGCTAAGCTGTGTCAATAAACACTCGGTCTAACAAGCAGTATTGGGATTAGTATTAGCTAGGGAGGCAGTATTTGTGCTCAGTGCCAGGACATTCCTTCAGACCCGTTATGTGGTCATGGGATGAGTCATGTTGGCTGCTGTGAGTGGGCTGCAGACCATCGTTAGCAGTAATGAGCTGGGCCCGTGGCCAACAGACAGTCAGGAGGTCACAGTGGACACAGTGGACGGCCCGGGAGACTGGGACTGAGTATTTTTATATTCATACTGACTGACTGGACATGTTCAGAGTTCTTATTCCTGAGTATACACCGAGACCACATTCTGACAATGACCAGAGAGACGAGAGTTAATCGTCATCACTGGATCGTCGCTGTCTGTGGTTGACGGGACGATCACCTGTGGAGACGATCCCTTCAGGTCGGAGTAGTTTGACACAAATCAGCATCAGCAACATCTATCTGTATATTAAACTTTGTGTCATAAAAAGATAGCATACACATGTAAATATATATGTACATATATAAATATATACACATATGCACACACATGTATAAACATAGATATATATGCATGACTATACAGTATATGTATGTTTATATATACAGTATACATATATACACACAGTATATACATATACATATATATGTATAAATATACATATATTTACACAATTCATTGTCGACCTGTGTTGTGTGGATGTGCCATCCCAGTGTGATCAGTTTACGTCGTTGTCTGTTACAGCTCTGATGGATAGCTAAATGATGAGGCGCTAATTAGCCGCAGTCACACTTTCTGTGTACAAACACTGTCAGGACCGACTGTCACAGCAGTGTGTCATGAGCAGTCAGAGGAACTCTAACGTTCTGTGACTGCACCGAGGTCTGGAGGTGTCCTCTAATGGTTTTCTGAGCAGCAGACAGGCTATAATCCACAGATAACAAGATGAGGATTATGAGCCGACAGTCCTGATCTAGATTATATTCTCTGCTGCGGGGAAACTATAACAGAACCTGGAGAAGAACAAGATCCCAGAGACGTGGAGGAAAAGTATCAAATTTAAAATCAAATCAGTGGCAGTCCTTTTACTAGAACTATATTTTACAGTAGATTGCATTATAGCAAGGAAGTCAAAGTGCAGATTTCCTGTGATAACTCCATGAAGTGAGCTTTCCTTTGAATGTGTCTGTGTTCATCCAGAAGTGTTCTCTGAACTGTCGCAGTAAACGGCCTAAACCTAGCCTTTTTGTAACTTTAATAACTTATAATTTAAACAAGCCAAGGTTTTAGCATACTTCACATATTTTGAGCCAATGTTTAACATTGTTTTTAGTTAAATTGTACACTAATATTACACAATGTACAGTATTTGGCTAACAGCCAAAAGCTTATTTTGGGTAAGTTTACTATTTTGGCTAGCTACTCCACAGCTACTGGTCCAACACATTTTTGTAACTTTGAGCTATTTTGAAATATTGTTCATCAAGTCATTAACATTCTATGGGCTTCGTTAGAGAGTGTTTATCTGTGGTAATCTGTGCAGTTCATATTCAATAAATAATGTATGTATCACAGAGCAGTGTTTGCTAATGGTACATAATTGTAGCCCAACAGAAGGATTTCACATTAGCGCTAATGTCCTCCGAGACATTACCATGGACGATTATTGGGCTAAAATGTAAAAAAGTTATTATTTTTTTAAACACAGCTACACACTTATAGACACAAGTGTTAAACTGACACCACACACGCCTCTTGCAGTAGCGACTCCACACATGTCATTCTTTTTCATAAATCTGTCCCCAAGCAGTGAAAACACGTTTACAGGCAGCCATTAAAACAACCAGCGCTCATTTAAGATATCGTATAGTTTTATAACCAGTTCATTTGAACTGAACTGAACTAATGAACACACACACACACACACACTCGTCATTTAAGCAGAGCTGCTTTCATTATGTTACCACATATTGAACATTTATGGGAGAGACTGTGAAACATGGAGAGGAAGGTTTTACTGCAGTCACAACTTTTATCCTTGCTGCCTGTGATTCTCCTTCACGTTCTGGCAGTAAAAAAAAAAGAATACAAGTCTAGTTCCTGCTCAAGGACACAAGAGTCATTGTCTGATCCAGTCTGAAAATAGAGATCCGACAGTGTTCCTAGGCGGAAAATTGCTGATAGGTCTGAAGGGCTATCAGTCAGGACATTGACGCTCTGAGACACAGTCCTCCAACATTATTTTGCATCAATTCTGGTTTCATGGAAGATAATATTCTTATGGACCAGTTGTCAAGGTGATGGAAAATACACCCCACAAATGACAAGAGTGTTACTGAATTATATATAAAGTGAACAGAACAATATAAGCTGGCTACAACGCAGAGCACCACGTATCATGTAGACCAACGGGGTCAAAATCATTTTGGTTTAGGGGCCTCATACAGCCTAATTAGATGTGCCAGACCAGTACAATCATGACATAATTACCTATATATAACAATAAGCAGTTTTTTCCCCCTTTTTTTCCATGTACAATAGTATATTAGAAAATCTTCATATTTAATGAATATATATATTTTCAAACTTTAAGAAGAGGGCCAGACAGAAACCTCTAGTGGACCGGTTGTGGCCCGCAGGGCGTATGTTTGGCACCCCTGTATTAGTGGGTGTATATGTGATGCATATCACACTGCAGGGGCAATTTGCACTTTGATATATTGCAATATACTGCAATACTATACTATAAGCATGATGATTTATTGAAGGGTTTATTTTTTAAACAATTTAATTGTAGTAAAACTGTTATCATAGTCAAAACACTATGATGTTCCATCTTAACATCAGGTTACAATTTGGTCTCATTTTCTTTGTCTACAGTTAAAGCAGAATTCCCACGGATGTGTCTGACAAACGTCCCTTGCAGCTTAGAACAAATGAAGGAACAAAGACTAAAAATCCTCCT